TCGAGCTGGCGTATGGGCCAATCTCGCGACGCAGAGATGCTGAGGACGGTGCGGATCGTGGCCGGCTTGACGACGGGGCTGAATGTCTCGTCGTAGTCAACACCGGCCTCCTGGGAGAACCCGCGGACGAGCCGTCGGAGTGGAGCTTGTGCTTGAACAGCCACTTGCCAGTGACGATGTTCGCACCAGGCGGCCGAGGTACGAGGCGCCAAGTGCCGTTGTCGAGCAGCGCCTTGTACTCTTCCGCCATCGCAGCGCGCCAATTGGGATCGGCGAGTGCACTGCGATAGTTCACCGGGACCGGCGAGGCGACGGAGGCAGAGAAGCCGTAGCGCTTGACGGTGCGGAGGCTGCCGGTCGTGAACGAACGTGGCCGACCCACCGGTATCTGCGGGAGCGCCGCCGGTGTCTGCAGCCTGGTGGTAGTAGCCAGCGAGGGCCACGGAGGCAACGCAGAGAGCCACTGGCTCTCGGTGGCGCGTATTGCAGGAGTCCGGGCACGGCGAGTGTAGACGGCACCGAAGCGCTGGCCTCCCAGCTGTGGCCCGCCCGCAGGAGGAGCAGCTGGAGTGTGCCCGCCCGCAGGCGTAGCCAGGGGGCCCAGCTGGAGTACAGCCGGGTCCAGGAGCGCCGGGAACGGATCCTCGCTGGTGGCAGCGAGTGGCGGAGTAGTGCTCGCTGGTGTCGGCGAGGAGGAGAGTCCCTGCATCAGAAAATCAAGTGAAGACGGCATGGAAGCCGCCGATGGTGCTGCTGAGAACGAAAACACGGACTCGTCGAAAATGACATGGCGAGAGATGATAATGCGACGAGTAGACATGTCGAGGTAGCGGTAGCCCTTGTGAGAAGATGGATATCCTAGGAAAACACAAGGTGCAGAGCGAGGGGCGAGTTTGTGTGGGGAGGTGGCAGTGAGGTTTGGATAGCAGAGGCACCCGAAAACGCGAAGTGAGGAGTAATCTGGGATGGTGCCGTGAAGGAGTTGGTGAGGGATTCTGTTGTGGATGGAGGAGGGACGCCTATTGAGGAGGAAGGTGGCTGTGGTGAGAGCCTCAGCCCAATAGGGAGGTGGCATGGACGCATGGAGGAGCATGGTGCGGATGGTGTTGTTGGTGGTACGGAGCATGCGTTCAGCCTTGCCGTTTTGTGGGGAGGTATAGGGGCAGGAGAGGCGGAGCATAATGCCATGGCTGGTGAGGAAAGAGGTGGTGGCGTGGTTAACAAACTCGGTCCCATTATCTGCTTGAAAGGATTTAGGTGTGGTGCCAAACTGTGTCTGAGCGTAGGCAATGAACTCGACAATGTGGCGGTGCACCTCGGATTTTTGGCGAAGTGGAAAGGACCAGCAGTAATGAGAGAAATCATCTACTAAAACAAGATAATATTTGAATACGGAGTTGCTAAGCACGGGAGATGTCCACACATCACAATGAACTAAATCAAACGGAGCATTGGTTACAGAGGTGGAATGACTGAATGGGAGTTGCACGTGCTTGCCAAGTTGACAGGCATGGCATAGGCATGGCGAGCTCTTATTGTAGGAGATGACTGACATGCTCCGGAGAGTGGCGAGGCTGGTTGGACCGGGGTGGCCGAGGCGGTGGTGCCACAGAGACGATGTGGTGGCGAGGCTGCAGGAGTGAGCTGGTGTGGAGGGGAAGGTGTAGAGGTCGCCACCACTATTGCAGCGAAGAGTCACGCGCCCCGTCTGTTGGTCCTTGACAGAAAAGCCACAAGCGTCAAATTCAATTGAGCAAGCATTGTCACGAGTGAATTGACGGACGGAAAGAAGGTTGCGCACTAAATCAGGAGCAACCAGAACATTGTTAAGGTGAAAAACAGAATTTGGAAAAGACAGTGTGGATGTGCCACGGCAGGTGATAGGAATTGTAGTGTCGTTGCCAACCGTGATGCCGGAAGAGGGTGGGGGAAGACGGGACAGGAGTATACCATCCGAGGACGACATGTGGGCAGTGGCACCGGTGTCGAGGACCCAGGGGGAAGACCCCTGGAGGGACATCTGGTTCAGGGCGGCAATGAGGCCGGCCTGATCCCAGCCGCCATGCTGCTGCGGGGGTGGAGGAGAGGCGTCGGAGAACTGGGCGGGGGCGAACGCCGTGTGCGCTGGTTTTGGAAAGGCGCCGAGGACCCTGAACACGCCAGTTGGGTTCAAGCGTCGGCGGACGCTTGGTTCGTCTTCGCTACCGCCAAATCCAGTTTCTTCGCCACAGGTTCGCCCGTCCGAGGAGCGTAGAATACCAAAGACCCCAATGGAAGGAAGCAGAGGACTTTGCCCGCCCTGCAATTGAAGCCGCCTCCCTTCTTCTTCAATGACCGCCGCCCGCTCGCCGCCGCCGCCGTAGCCTTCGCCAGAGCCGCCGCTTGTGGCGCTCGGCGCGACGGTGTAGTATACCGCCCGTGTTGCGGAGGTGACGCGGCAGACTGTGCCGCACGAGGCATGGAACGCCGTCTGGGCAGCGACGGAGCCCTCGTTGGCGAGGCGGAGCTCCTTCAACACGAGCTTCTCACGGGTGGTGGCGAAGTCCGGCAGCGGGTGGGAATCGACGATGTTGTCGGCGGTGCTGGCAAAGCGGGGATTGAGGCCGCGGAGGAAGTTGAGGACGAGCTCCGAGTCGGTGATGGTGCGGCCGACATCGCGCAGAGCGTCGGCTGTGGCCTTCATCCGCTGGGCGTAGTCGTTGATGGAGGAATCGCCCTAGGTCATGGAGTGGAACTCGTGACCAGGAAGATGGCGCGCGGAGCCTTGTTGGCCTCGAAGAGGCGCCGGATGGCAACCCAGAGCTCATGTGATCGATTTGGTGCCGCAGACAAAGGCCGATGACGCCCGCCCCAGCAGAGCCGAGGAGCTAGTGCGGACCGCAGCGTCGGCAATGGCCCAAGCAGGTCGATGGCATGGGCCTCCGCCGTTGCGTCGGCGGCGGAAGGAGACCGAATTTCCGCAGAGAGAGGTGAAAACGGCTCCCACCTTGGTTGAAGTTGGGCCTTCGTCTGAGGCCGTGGTCACCGGGATGTGGTTCTTGACATTGATCGTCGTGTGGGGGTGACGAAGACGGCTGGGCAGGATGGAGCCCATAGCGGCCGAGGTGCTAGAGGGTGTGGTGGAGTGGTGATGAGGAGGTCGACATGGGCGACTGGGAGGGGAGCGACGCAGCAGGGGGGGGGGCTGTGCGGTGGGAGGGAGGAGAAGGAGGATCTAAAAGCACGATACCATGTAGAAGGTAGAGAATCACCACTCACCCCAATGTGGGTGGGGAGCCTTTCATATATATAGCCAATAGGCATACATGGAAGTTACATACATGGGAAGCTATTTCCTGTACAAGGAAACTATCCTAGGCTATACATGGCAGCTAGCCTATCTAGGGAAACACCAATCAATCGCTAATTGATGTAGATATATACATATCCTAATAGTCCTGATGTAATAGCTTTGCACAAGTAACTCCATCTGTATGCTGTGAATACAACGATAGGACCGCACCTAGCTTAGACCATGTATATATTAAGATTATAGACTGTTCTACATTTGAATTGCATTCTGTATTAGTGCTAACTCTGAAATTCTCTGTTGTGTGTGTGTAAAACTTAAAAGCCTTGAAAAAAAAACAAAATTTAGCTTAAAAAGCCAAAAACTTCAGCAATAATATAAAGAACTTTTACTCACGGTGTGCTGTATAGCAGTTGTCTTATAACAATGGAATAGACCCATCACTGGTAAGTATGGAAGGACCAATGGAATGGAACATTATCCAGATTGACACCATACAGTAACTTTCCTTTGGACTAAGTATGTAAGTATAAAATTCAAGAAACAAATGATGATCATATGGAAGTTTCAGAAAATAATCATGTGGAGCTTAGAATCAAACATATTCAGTAAGGACCCATAAAAAGAGCTAAAACCTAAGACAACTACAATAAGAATTAACAAATGTGGAGAAATCCCACAATAAAAAATGACTGTATTTGTGTAAACAGCAACGGTTCACTGAAATACCAGCAATCACAGAGATTTATCTAACTAGGGATGAAGAATCAACTTAGAAGTTAGGAGTTAGAACTATTAAAGACAGACACCATCAACGAGGTTCAAATAACAACAGTTAAGTTACAAAGTACTACCGCCATCCCAGAAAGGATGCAATTCTAGAATAGTGCCCAGTCAAACCTTCTTAAGTTTGACCACATTTATATACAAAGATACTAATATTTAACATATTAAATATGTATCATTCAATTCATCATTGAATATATTTTCATAGTATACCTATTTGAAGTCATCAATGTCGATACTATTTTCTATAAACTTGTCAAAGTTAAGACAGGTCGACTTAACCACACCTAGAATTGCATCTTTTATAGGATCGAGGGAGTAGAACATAGATAAGAAGCATCTGCATGTACAAAGTTTCAATTATTGTAATATCAAATACATATTTCAGAACAAGGTACCGTGGGTAAACTAACCTTAACTCCATCGTACAGGATGCAGGTCATATAACATTGATATCTTCAGAGTATTTAAGAAAGACCTGTTACCCTGTAGAAACATAAAGATTCACAAGAGTTGCATCAAACAAATTAAAATAAGGCTCAACTGAAATACTACTATGATCCTGAGGATATCACAATTTATGTGCCCATATGAACAACTTACTTTCTTTCAATTCACATGGTTTATGCAAAAGCAGACCCCATACAAATCCTCAAGCAGCTCTTATCCAATCCATTAATCAATATCTGGTCATCTTAACCTTGACATGGGTATTTTATAAGATCATCGAGAATGCAAGAGCAAAAAAAAAATAGACAAAGTAATACTGAAAAAACTTTATATTATAGTTCATGGCACCAAATAAGAAAGGCATACCATTTACAGCCATTGATAGGCATAGAAGCTGTGCTAAACAGGAACATCGAGCGCTACTGTCAAATTTCTATGCTGCATGAGTCGGAGAAATTCGGATTGCTCTTGCAAATCAAGCAATAACTGCAACATCCTTTTTCTTAAAGCCAGAAATCCGCTTTGAGATCTTTTCAGATATTTCAGAAGCTAGAGCATATCTATTGCTTTCATAGCATGAATTGATGATGCTTGTATAAGTTGCATGGTCAACAGCATAATGCTTGTTGAGAACATTTTTAAGGAAAAGACTAGCAGCATCCAAATTGCCAACAGTACTGAGCTTTCTCACTAGTGCATCTGCTGTATGAGCCTGTTGCCGTTTGTCCAGTCTATCCAAGAATGATACAACAATGGTTGTCTTATCCCTCCTGCAATATTCATAAGCTAAAGTGACACAAGTCACATCGCATGGCAATAAATGTTTATCAAGCATGGTCTCAAATAACGCCCTTGCTTCCTCTAGTCTTGATTCCTTGCATAACCCACTTATTAGTGCCCCATAAGTTATAGAGTCAGGAAGGCATCCATGTTGAACCATCCTCTCAAAGACCTTGAGAGCCGAGGTCGATTTGCCAACTCTACAGTATCCTGCAATCATCGAGGTATAAGTTTGCTTGGTTGGCACTAACCCTACCGAAAGACATTTGTCAAAGAGCTGCTGACTTTGTTCCATTTGCCTCTGCTGACAATACATAGCAATGATGGTGGTATATGTGTCTATATCAGGATGGCAACTGTTTCCTGCCATCTGGTTGAACAAATCAAGAGCATAAGTTATGTGGCCCTGTTTGCAATGTTCAGTTATCAGCATAGTGTATGTCACCTTATCAGGATGCAGCCCCTGACTAGTGGCCATCCGGAGCACCTTGTAAGCCTCTTGAATCCTTCCCTTCTTGCAAAATTCCCCAATAATGGCATTATATGTGTAAATATTGGGCAGGAAGCCTTCCAGCTTCATCTTATTCATCAGCTCAAAGGCACGGTCGAAGCTGCCTCCTCTGCAGTGCCCATCGATCAGCGTAGTGTATGTGTTTGTGTTCGGGGACAGTCCCTGCTCAACCATCCTCCCCAACAGCATCTCAGCTCGAGCAATCTTCCCCTCTTTGCAGTACCCTCCAATCATCACAGTGTATGTGTGCACGTTCGGCTTGTACGAGCTACTCTTAACAAGCTTCAAGAACAGCCGGAACGCCCGCTCTGTCCACCCAATCTTACACAACCCATCGATGAGCGACGTATGCGTGTACACGTTCGGCTTCAACCCCTTCCGCACCATCTCCTCCAGCACATGGAACGCCTGCTTGACATAGCCTCTTTTGCACAGACCATCGATCCACGCGGTGTAGTTCACCACGTTCGGCGGCGTGCCCATCTCCGCCATCCTCCCGAACAGCCCAGGCACGTCCCTGAACCGTCCCTGCCGGCAGAACGCGCGCACGACGACCGTGCACGTGGCGCTGTCCAGGGAGAACCCCTCCCGCCACATCGCCGCCAGCAGGGCGTCCGCCTCCTCGAACCGCCCCTCCCGGCAGCACCCGAGGACGAGCGCCCGGAAGCTGCGTGCGTCGGGGCGCACGCCCATTCCGTCGAACGCCTGGCGCGCGTGCGCGAAGCAGCCGCCCGGGTGGTGGCGCCGCAGCCCGACGCGGAGCACCCAGTTGGCCGTCTCGACGGTGAGCGGGAGCCCGTGGCTCCGCAGCTCGAGCAGCATGTCCGCGGCCTCCCGCAGGCGCCCGCGCTCCGCGAACGCGGCCACCATCGCGCGCGCCGCCTCGTGCGCCATCGGCAGGTTCCCCCGCGCGACGAATAAGGTGGCGGCCGTCGCGTAGAGCCGCATCAGGTGGCAGAGGTCCGGGCGGGCGGACAGGCGGCGGAAGAGCGCCAGCGCCGCCGCGGAGCCCTCGGTGTCCGCGACGGACGGAAGCAACGCGATGGCGTCGTCCGGGGCGAGCAAGGCCGGGTCGAGGCCGGGGACGGGGGCGGTGGGGATGGTGATGTCGGAGGAGGAGGGAGCGGGGTCGGGAGGTGAGGAGGCCGTGGTGGCTGCGCTGGTGGAGAGAGGTAGGGGTTTGGGATGGAGGAGGAGGCGGCGGACATGGCGATGGCGGGGGAGCATCTCTGTCAGTCTGAACGTGACTCTGAATGGAAATGGCGCCCCTCTAGCTTCACCTGAAGAAGCGGAGACGTTGAGAAACCGCCTTCCCGGGGAGAACGTGGAAACATGTGGAGTGAAATACGTCTCCTGATCCCGAATACGGATTTGGCTGTGGCCCTTGTTCACGATTTGGACCGTTGCAGTTCTGTTGTACTGATACGCTTTCGTTAGCCTCGCCGGCCGCCGCCCGCGCACCAATCGTGCTCACCCTGCTGCCTGGCGCCGCACTCGCGCTTCCAGTTGGAGCTCCTCAAGGGAAACGAATTCTTGTCGTGGTGCCGCACCCGGATTTCGGAATCGATGCTGCTTCGAATGGCTCCCCATATCGTTAGCATCCGCCAAGTAATTTCTTCATCACTTCATCGGTTAATGGTGTTTATCCTGCAGCGAAGAGTATAATTTGTGGGTTCGTGTGTTGGTCAACTTTTGTCATCACTCGTCTCTATGGATCTATTGTTGTAGAGAAGGGAGGATGGAGTATAGGATGAGGGAGCCTGCTGCTGATGCGCTCGTCCGTATCCGCCGGCCCGCCGCTGCCTCTGCCGGACCTCTGATCTCCGCCTCTTTCTCTCTCTCCGGTCTCCCGCTCTAGCTCCGCCGCGAGAGGGGGGACGACTCCAGGTTAGCCCCTGCTCTTCCTGTCTTCTGCTGCACTGCAACGGATTTCATATGGGGGCCTGGGAAAGCTCTTAAAAATTTAGCAGCCTTGCACCAGCTCCCAATTTGGTTCGCACTTGTGATTATGTTTTCCTTCAGTAAGAGCTTGGACCAGTAGGATTGCACAATTTATAATCAGAAGACCATAAAACTCACAGAAACGTAATGACAACAATACAAAAAATGCTGAAACAAGTCAAAATTAAAATTGAAAAAACAGAATCATCAGCACTATTTAGTATTTACACTTCACACAGAGGACACATGGATGGGCTGTTATTCAAACACAGTGATGGCATAATCAGACAATTGCAAGGATTCAGTTACAAGAGCTGTTCCAGTGTTCATCACTCATAGTACTCATCAACGACTATTGTGGGTTTCCTCAAATGCATGCTTACTGAACTTCTGATATTAGTCACTTTTTCCCTACTAGCTTCAGAAGCCTGCTGGCTGACTCTTAGATAAACTTGTTGAAGACTTGCAAGGTTTTCCAAACCGTAAGCACCTTCAGATAATCTGAACTGTAGCTCAAGTCTTTGAAGTTCTGGCATTGCCCCTTCTAGGAAGCTCAGCAACGGTATCACTGATGCGGACAGTCTTAGCAGTTTAAGACTGAGAAATCCACCAGCCGGTACAAAGATCTTTCCTCCTGAATCAATTTTATTCTTCTGTAGAATCTCCACAACACTACTGTCATTTCCTTTTGCATTGATTGAAAATGTGAGAGAAAACAACTTAGGGAGCTGGGAAAGAACTTGTAAACCATCTGTCCGCAGTGAAGTTAACGATAAAGTTAACTTTTCGAGAGTCTCCAGCTCCCTTATCCATTTAGGCACACGAAACAATTTGCTAGAAATATCTAGTGAGAGAATGTATTTTGGTGGGGTGGATAAATCATCCATGGAATTAAGAAAGCCCGAGAAACCATCGTCGATTGCAAGAGACTTAAGGGAGTAGCCAGTTAGGTGCTCAATAGCAGGCAATAACTTGTTGCTGGTATGGAAGTCTCTTAGGTTGTAGATGCTTAATTTCTTCAATCTGGTGAGGCTGTGCATGCTTCCAAGGTCTGGAGTTAAATCCCTATTAATCTCAATCCCTGATAGGGTCTGTAACGCTGTCATCTTTGCAATTTCTTCAGTGAATCTCAAGGAAAGACGTGTGGATTTATTGCCACCAAGCAGATGGACCATTTTTTGGAGCCGCCCAATGGATGAAGGCAACTCTGTTACATTTGTCTCCCTAACATCCAGTGTCTCCAAATATTGGAGTTTTCCAATTTCTGACGGGAGCTTCTTGATGTACATATTGCGTAGGCTCAGGTACTTCAGTTGAAACATCTTAAAAATTTTCTTCAACTGATTGGTATTTAAGTTCTTGCAACCTTCTAGATCCAACACTTGCAGTATAACAGACTTGAATGAATAAGAAGGCAGATTATGCAAATTCTCAAACGCTGTTAGCGATCGGACATGTGACAAGTTCATGTTCTCTATTTTCTCTTTAATATCATCAGGATTGCTGTTATGAAGAGAAAGCCGGCGGACTTTGTTGCTTGGTGTTCCTGTGAGCCAGTGACCTCCAATAACAGTGATAAAATTCTCTTCGCTTGACTTGGAGACAATATATTCAAGGATCATATCATGAACTTGGCAAGACTTCACCTTGCCATTGGTGCTATGTTCCACTGCCCGGACTATACTTCTGCCTATGAGCTCATTGAAACTGTCTTCAGCAACTTCCTCTACTGTTTTCCCATCCTTCTCAGCAATGAAACCTTCAGATATCCATCGCCTGATTAATCGCTTCCTGTTGATGCTGCAACCTTTCGGGAATATGCTCAAGTATAACAAACAATTCTTCTGATCGGCAGACAAATCATTGTAGCAGAGATTAAGAATTTGTGTCAAGCCCTCAGGAGTAAGTTTCTTATCCAAGTCTGAATTTAGAGATTCTTTCACTGTTTCCCACTGGCTCTTTTCTGTCAGATCTCTTCTGGCTAAGAGCCCTGCCACTGCAACTATTGCCAAAGGTAGACCTCCACATTTCTGTATAATTTCATCCTTTGTTTCTTTGAATTCTTCTGGCTTTGGATCAGTAACTGTTTCGAAGAACAACTGTGTGGATGCTGCATGAGGGAGTGGTTCAAGCATGTAGATATGTTCTTTATCATGGCAGCAGGCATTTGCTACAGACTTGAACCTAGTAGTCACCACTATGCTACTTCCCTTCTGATTTCTGGGCAAAGATTCCCAAATGTTTTTCCATGACGTTACAGACCATACATCATCTATGAAGATAAAGTATCTGCAAAGGAAAAGAAAAAAGGCAAAAATACTATTAGTGGTGTTGTACAAACATGATCAGTGAATATTTGTCTGAACAATGGCATAACTGCATAATCAATACCACTCCTTGAGCTGATTATTATCAATACCTTTTGTACTAACAAGTAGTGGATAGCTAACAACTAAAACGAAAATTGAAGTGGTTTGTATTTCAACCGATATATTACATTTTGAATGAATGATTATGGAAATTTTAAAACAGTTGATTCATCTGTCATTCTATAGTCAGTGTATGAATAATCAATTAGTTGCAGTGCTCACCTCTTCTGTCCCAGCTGTGCTTTGAGCTTCTCCTTGAGCTGTTTCACACCCCAGCTTTCGATTCCTTCGGCACGGCCCTCTGAGGTGCCAGTGCCGCCTCCGCGCTCGGTATCCTGCCACGGCATGACCTGCTCCAGAATGCCTCTCAGCAGCGACTGCAGGTTCAGTTTCTGCGAAGCCTGCACCCATGCCCGGGAATCAAACTTCTCCCCAAATCTGCGTTGCAGTGCCAGCGCCATCGTCGTCTTACCGAGCCCACCAAATCCGACGATGGCGAGAATCCTCACGTCACCCTCTGATTCTGTCAGCCACCGCCCACGCTCAGCAATGGCATCCTCCTGTCCCACTCGCGCCATTATACCGATGAGCTGCGGCGCAAGAGGTTGGAGTTGATCGGTGCCATACTGGCGAACTGTCCCACCCTGCTTGCTGCTCGGGATGGGTCTTGGGTCCTCCTTGGGGTCCTTCACGCCGTACCTCGTGCGGCGTTCGCCGACTTCATGTGCGCGGTTCTTGAGGTCGATGATCTTGGAGGCGACGTCCCGGCGCGCCCATAGCGTGGTCATGGTGTACCACGCTCGGCGGAGGTTGAGGAGGAGGCCCTTGCCACGAGGCGGCGGGCGAGACGGTGTGTGAAGTCGTCCACACAGTCTTCTATGTCATAGGCGACGTCCCGGACCTGCTCGATCCAGTCCTTGGTCTGTTCATCGTGGGTGGCACCGGCTGCAGTGGCGCGGGTGAGCCTGTGGAGGAAGGCGTACATGCTGGAGAGCTCATTGTTCATGTACTGGATCTCGCTGCGGACACCGGTGATAAGCGTGTACTCCTGAGCAAGGAGGCTGCCAAGCTTGCCCAGCAACGATCTCATGGCGCTCTCGGAGGCACCAACGGCGAGCTCCATGATCTCTAAGCGTTGGCTGATCTTGCTTCAGGTTAGCTGTCTTCTCTTCTTCTTGGCTGTCACCTAAAGTACTCAAATTCACAGGATATCTGGTCGGAAAGAAACCCATGATTAATTGTTCAGAGAAGAAATTGCAAGGTGGCAATTCTTACCTACAAGGCTACAACAGAGGAAGAAATGAAAATTGTAAAGAACGTGTGTGGTACTGTGGTTGCTTTTGCACGCTGGAAATGAGCAAAATTTGAAGAAGCAAAGATCCAAGAGTCTTTTACTTGTATGCTATTAAAAAAGATGGTCTAATCGTCTATATCCCTAAAAAGTTCGATCTATCGTCAGTGTCCAAACTCGAAAAACTTTTCTCTCACACACCATTCTGTCTATTTGCAGCACTAACGGTGTGAAATGTGGGTGGCAAAGACTTGAATGCCCCTGGAACTTTTGTTTCTCATGTGCCACTGCCTGCTGGACGGCAACCTGATGGCTTTTGGCATCAACAAGGTTGGCCTTGGCGCCAACTTGCCCTGCTCTATATATAGCCACCCCCTCCCTTCCATTCCCACTCACCTCTCTGTCCACTCAATCCCTCTCCTCTCCATGGCCATGTCTGAAGGTTCAAGCTCTTATGAGAGGCGGCTCACTAGGCGCGTTTTTTGCCCCAACTGTAGAGTGCTGGCCAATCGCTTCACTACGAGAACAGAGAAGAACACCGGTCGTGTCTTCCACAAGTGTCCCTATTTCTCGGTTTGTCTCTCTTCTTTGTTCATGCTATGCTCTTGTTCTTCTAATCTGTGCTCGTGGTTCTAATAAGAGCGCTCTTCTAATAATCTGGTGCTCAGGCTGGTGGGTGCCAATTCTAGAGGTGGGAGGATGAGATGGATGTCACTCCATCACAGGCTGGCTATGCTACTCCTTTGCCTATACAGGCAATGGATCCAGTGGCTATGCAGGCAGTGGCAGCAGCACCTACAGCAGCTTCAGCTCAAGTGGCCAACATGAATGAAGCTTTCCAGGCTGTTGGCAGAGGTGGAGTTCAAGACAGGGCAGATGGGGTTATGCAGCAGCTTAAATGGATTGAGAAGCTGGTCTATCTTGCAATATTTCTTGCTATGTATGCAATAATGAAGAAGTAGGTGTGTGTGTTTGCCATTGTATGTTTATGCATGTATGGATGAACAATCAATGAATGAAGGTTGCAATGGCATTTTAGACCACAACAATGCTTAACCATGAACCAAAATGACATCAACAACATCAAATTAGTCCAAACTGGATGAAACTAGCATTAACTTGTCCAAACATTACATAACATCACAGGAAATCATCACCAACATTGTTCAGTTCAGTTCATTTCACCAACATTACATCACAGGAAATCATCACATCACAAACATTGTCTTAGGTTTTCAACAAAGCAAAAACCTGTGCTTTAACCAAGTTTTCCAACAAGTTTTCATCCCACAAAAAGACAAGTTTTCATCACCAACATGTTCTCAGGTTTACCAAACAAAAGGCCATTGAGGAGTCACCTGTGCTTTAACCAAGCTGTAGGTTCTTCTTGCCTCTGGTATTTGCAGCTGGGTTGGAAGGGTCAGCTGCAACCTGGCATACATCCTTCCTTGGTGTAAGCTTCTTCTTGACAGCAATTTTCTTCCTTGGAGGACTGGCAACCTGGACAGACTCCTGCTCCTTCAGTGGTGCCATCACTGTGGCACTGCCTATTGCTTCAGTGCTGGCAGGGTTAGGGGCTAGGAACACAGTTTGGAGAGGAACAGGTTCATTGGATCCAGTTCCAGATCTTCATGAAGTAAACAAACATTCACAAAGTAGTACCAATGAAATGAAAAAGATGCATACAACCATACCTGTCAGTTGAAGCTGATGCACTTGTAGATGAGGCCTTGCTTTTCTTGACACTTGATGCAGATGAAGTCTTCCTCTTCCTTTTCTGGGGTTCTGCATTATCCACAGCCTCATTTGGTGGGTAAACCATCCCAACAGGTTGTCTAGCAACAACAATGCTTGTCTCTGTGTTGGCTAAAGCTGCTTTCTTCTGCCTCTTCTTTGGGAGACCCCTGCAGGCAACATGAAGCAAAAGTTAGCCAATATTACAATGTGATGAAAGAGCTTGATGAAACAAGTCATGATGTTTACCTTTGCTGTTCCACTGCAGCTATGTCTGCTGGATCACTATTTTTGCAGGTGTACCAGTGGTGCCCTAACTGATGACATATAGGGCACTCATGCCTCTTTATCTTCTTCCTGCTACCTCCTTCTAGTGCTCCTTTGTGCCTGTTCTTGCTTCTTCCAGCTGTGGACTTCAATAGAGAAGGGTGCATAAAAAATCCATGTGTGGCTTTGGGCCACATGGACTTGTCTGGAATGGATGGGATCACACCTCCATATGCAGCTCTGAACTTCTCAACTGAGTAGCAGTCATCTACATAGTCCTCTAGCTTTGCTCCTGGAATTGAGGTGATGTAGGCAATAGCATGCCTACAAGGTACTCTAGTCCCTTGCCACACTCTACATACACATGTCCTCTATCTTAAGTTCACCACAAACCTGAATGCATTGTCACTGCTCCCCTTGACACATACTTCTGCAACTCCATCACTTTCAGTAATGACATCAATGTCTAAGTTGTAGCTATCCTCCCTCAACTTCTTAACAATGTGAGGTAGGATCTTCCCTTCAAACTTGTTTGCAACTTTTTTCCTCATATTCCATTTAATCAACAACTTCTGCCTAAAAGTATCCAGCAAGTCATCAAGGTGCTTGCCTTTGTCTTTCTTTATCCACTTGTTGAAGGACTCTGCCAAGTTGTTTGTTACATAGTCAACCTTGCTGCCAAATAGGTACTGGCTCCTAGTCCACAACTTATGAGTCTGTAACAGATACTTCATAGCCTCTGGTTTGGCTTTAGCCATTGCATTATAATGGATGTCAAACTAGTACTCAGACCAAGAATAAGAAGCTGCCCAAAGATGATCATAAAAAATTTTGTCATTGTATCTCTTCTTAAAATTCTGTACAAGGTGGTACATGCACTCTTTATGTTCTGCTTCTGGAAAAACCTCACTGACCCCATGCATCACTGCCTATCCACAGTCTGTGCTTATGCAGAGACCATCTGGGGTGCCTATTGCTTCTTTCAGCCTCTCCATAAACCACACCCAGTTCTCATTGGTTTCTGAATCTATGACACCTACAGCAACCGGATACATCCAGTTGTGCCCATCAACTGCACATGCTATGCACAACTGGCCCCTGAACCTACCATACAAGAAAGTGCTATCTATTGCCAAATAGGGCCTACAACCACTAAGGAATCCATCAACACAAGCCTTCATTGAAAAAAAGCCTGTTGAACCTAAGCTTGTTGTTTATTATGTGGTTATCAATCACAACCATTGACCCAGGACTCTCACTCTCTATCTGTGCCTTGAATCTGTACAAGTTGTCAAAACTCTTGTCCCATGGCCCATAAAGCTTGTCCATAGCAAGGTTCTTACCATAGTACACTCTCATGTAGGGCATCTCCACTTTGAAATGATCCTTGAGTTTCTTAATCAACTCAAGAGTACCCAAAGTCCCATCTTCTTTCAACCGATCAATAACTCTCTCACAAACCCAATACTTGGTGCAGCCCTCACAGGAACACCGGTCCTCTTCTTCCAGCTCGACATTCATGGATAGATGGATTCTTCTTAACCTGCCAATGAAAACAACATGCAAACATCAATGAAAACACCAAGTTTGAATATATAACAATGGAAGCACCAATTATAACTTAGAAGAGGAAATCACTGAATTGTTTTGCCATCCCTCATGGTTGATGCATGGATTCTCCAAGGGCAACCTTCATTCCTCCGAGAGGCAAAGACACTCGGTACCTTCTGTATCACTCTTCCGAATGAAATATCGATTCTCTTTTATTGCAGCATGAGTAGCTAAAGCCATCTTAAATTCAAACATGTCTGAATACATGCTTCCAACACACATGGGGGGGTTCTTTTTGTCATACTCAAGAGGTGCCATGTAGTCAGGCTCATGGTCCTTAACCATTTCATCTGCCTCATCAGCGTCCATTTCAGGATCAAACTCATCATTAGACCCTGAACTAGCATCACTCTCAGTTTCAGATTCAGCTGGCTTTGGACTATCACTCTCAGTTTTAGATTCAGCTGGCTTTGGACTTGGACATCTTTCGGTGGTGGCGGTTTGGATCCGATCTTACGGAGGTGTTGGTTTGTTGTGGCTTTGGAGGTGGTGGAAGGTCAAGGTACAAACCTTCATCATCAACACCCATATGCTCATTCTACGGGTTTGGGTTTGCGAGAATGTCATCATCGCACATCTTTGTGCTCGTGTGCAGGTTGATTACGCAATGCTAGGAGGTGCATTGGAAGGACAGCAATGGAAGGAGTGGCAATGGAAGGAGTGCCCATTGAAGGAGTGATGGGTGGTTCAATAGATTGCTCGAAGAATTGGATCCCAAGAAGGAATGACAGAGGAGCAAGTGTTGGGTTTATAGTAGGCTAAACTAATTCAACAACACTTGGAAGCTTTATTTTGGCAAACATTTCAACTAAGTCATGGTCATTGGTGAGGGGATGTTCATCTTTGTGTCATGGCACCATAAAACACACCGTAAGTATCCCCATAGCGCCTGGGATACTTATCCACAATACCTTCAACCACATTTACGTAGTTTGCACGATCGGCATCCACAACTTCACTCACGCCATACCACTTCCCCCCACGCATATTTTCAGCAATAATCCAAAACTCTAGATTGTAGCTACTAATTGGGTCCATCCTACAGATGAACAACAACAATCACAAAGGGGGAAACAAACTAGCAAGAGCAAGCAACAACAATCCTAGCTCTCCACAATCACCACGAACAAGCAAGCGAAGGAGAAGAGGAACTCACCCGTCTCGAAACCATGAAGGGCGCTCGGGCGCCGCCATGTTCGCCGCCAATCTAGGCTGCCCACGGTACCTCCCTTGCTCCACTATCCCATGCCCCGCCGCAACCAGGGATGGGATTCTTGTCTCCCCTCAGCCGCCGCAACCCGCTGACGCTCAGTCGCTCGACGCCACCGCCCACAATCGCTGCTAGGGTTTGGGTTTCGGTGATGGGATAGAGGAGGGAGCGGAGGAGTCGAGCGGAAGGAGTGGAGGAGTCGAGCCAGATGAGGAGAGTGAGAGCGGTCAATATCGGTCAACACGGCCTCCACCTCTAATTCCAACGGCAAGGGGCAACTGAGGTCATTTGCCACAGCGGACCCCACTCGTCAGGACAGCCAAACGGCGCAAATCAAACAGAAGGCGGACAGAATGATGTGAGAGAGAAAAGTTTTTCGAGCTTGGACACTGACGATAGATCGAACTTTTTAGCCACATAGACGATTAGACCATCTTTTTTAATGGCATAAGTAAAAGACTCAAGATCCAAAGCTTACCTCTTGCAGAAACGAATGAAGTCCCTCGGCTGTTGCAAAACGCCAAAAATTAGGGTGCAAAAGGCAGCAGCATCCATGGCATCGGAGATAGTCTTGCGGCGGCGCTGAAACAGAACGACAACGAGTTTAGGGCGCTGAGCGATGTGTTGAGCGGTGGCGAGCTCGGCCTCGGAGACGGGGATCTGAACAGGTCGACCACGTGCGCTGCCCGTGGAGCGCCAAGCTATGGGCCCTGGACCGATGAAGGCCACATGCACGCAGGAAAGCCCCGGCCTCCTGACCGCCGGCGTTTGCTGCAACACTTTCTGAGCTACTAGTGTGAGAGTAGCTGGGAGGGATTCAGAAGGATTAGATTAGATCTGAGAGTTCATAAGTGGATGAACAGGTAGTCAGGTATTGATGGATTTTACACCGAGCAACTCCAGTGGTCCCAAATCACTGATCAGGACCCTACTTTACTTTGGGGGCTCCTCTTACTTTGGGTGTCACGTACAGTATGAGCCCCAAAATTAGGACGCTTACTTTTCTGACAGTCAATTAAATTTTGTTTTTTTTATCTTTTTCCTATTTCTACCGTCTTCCATTCCCAAACAAGCGGGCTCAGGTACTTATAATGAAAAAATTGCATAGTGTGATGCTTCCTAGCCCGCGCAACTGCACGGGCCTTCCTGCTAGTTTCTCAGTACATGCGGATGCGGGTGTTCGCTCGGAGCAAAACGTCCGCGGAATTGGAATTGGGGGAGAACCCCAAATCGTTTAGTCCATACCCACTTCAGTCGGCGGCACGACGACACTCACAGATCGAAATCTGGAGGAGGCCGGGGACGGTGAATGGCGACTTGGCGAGGCGACGCGCTGCGGCAAAAGCTGCTGGTGGCGGATCAGCACGGGTTGCCCCACGGCATCCACAGCGACGTCCGCTTGCTCTGTGACTGTGTGACATGCTCCTCGTCATACGTGGCGCGATCGACCACTACGACGAGCCCCTCCATGAGCCCAACGCCCAGGCTAAGGGCTGGGTCAACCGCGCCCGCGAGCTCGCCTACGACGGCGAGGACTGGGCTGACCTCTTGCTCCACCGCGTCCAGGTCAGCGGCGGTGGATGTACCGCCCTCGGCTCTAGGATTCACAATCGGCTTGGCCTTGTCTACCGCGACATCGCCAGCGAGCTCCGGAAATTGAGGAAGCGCGCTGTTGAGCTGATCGAGCAGTTCAAGCCCTTGAGCCTCAACTCCCTCGAGCCTGTCGACCCCCGGCTGACCACGCCCTTCGTCGACGTTTGCAGCCTGGTCGGCTTGGACGGGCCGATGGAGAAAGTGACCAAGATGGTTACCGGTGCCGGCGGCAAGATGGTTGTCTCCATCGTCGGGATGGCCGGATCTGGGAAGACAACGCTCGCTATGGTGGTGTACCAGCAGCTTATTAGACAGAAGAACCGCTTCCATTTACATGCTTTCGTTTCCCTGGGGCAGGAGGCTAGGTTCGAACAGGCTCTCAACAGCATGCTCTCGGAGCTTGGCGATGGGCACCGAGAAGGGCCGATCCAGGGCATTGAGCAGCTCATCTCGAGGATCAGAGAAATATTGGAGAACAAGAGGTAGGCCTGTACATGGTGAAGTTTAGATTATTCTCTTATTCTTCTTTTTTTTCTGGAAAAAAGGCTATTTGCATTGTTTGTAATTCAGAATCAGAAACTTATTTTTGTAGTTTCCTTCACCTACGGTTTTTTTTCTTCATTTTGCAAAACAGGTACCTCATTGTGGTTGATGATTTATGGAGCAGCAAAGACTGGGAAATGATAAATTATTGTTTCCCAAATAACTCCCTTGGTAGTAGGATAATCACCACGACAAGGAACCTTGCATTGGCAGAGGAATGTTGCCCTGGTTGGAGCGATTGCATTTACAATACTGGGCTTCTTAGTGAAGTCGACTCCAGAAAACTAATTCTGGATAGAGCCTTTGGTATTGGGCATGGTTGTCCTCCACAGTTGGAGGACGTTCTTGCCCAAATTACAAGAAGATGCAGTGGCCTGCCTCTTGCTTTAGTTACCGTAGCATCCATGTTAGAAGGCAAATTCTCAAAGGATAAATGGCATCGGCTTATTGGATCAAGATGGTCATCAGATGCAGAAGTGATGAAGCAGATATTCAATCGTAGCTACAGTGATCTTCCCCATCATCTTAGAGCTTGTCTGCTGGATCTAAGCATATTTCCTGATGATTTCAAGGTTGATGTAGACCGCCTAATGAGGCGATGGATGGCTGATGGATACATCGATATCCCTGGAGTGTCCAAACGCATGGAGGAAACAGCTAGAAGAAACATCAACGAGCTCATTAGCAGAAACATGGTACAACGATTGCCCCCGATCCATGGTGCCCCAAGGTATTGCAGGCTTCACCCTGTGATACATGATTTCGTTGTTTGCAAATCAATGGAAGACAACTTTGTCACTCTAGTGGATGATCAGAGCCCACCAATCTCAACCAACGACTGCACTGTCTACTGGCGGCTATCAGTGCAGAGCAGTAAGCATGATCGAGACCTGACGTCAAATGATGGTATGGACTTATCCCATGTTCGCTCAATCACTGTCTTTGGTCAGGCCAGCGCCGCAACTGGCCTGACTAATCTGCGTGTTGTGCGTGTGCTGGACCTTGAAGGCTGTGTCGGTCCGGTAGGCCTGGACAACCTAGACAAGCTGCCGCTGCTGAGGTACTTGAACCTCAAAGGCACTGATGTCACTGAGCTCCCTGCAACAACATGGGAACTAAGGTTCCTGGAGTCACTGGATGTAAGATCCACGAAGGTGAAACAGCTGCCTCCAAGCATTATGGGCCTACGGCATTCTTTGAGAACTCTTCTCTTTGGTCACGAAGGAATGATTAATTCGGTGGAAACAGCAACAAGGATTGCCGGGGATATCCAGCATTGCGGCGGGCTGCAGAATTTAGCCACTATCGATTTGAGGGTACACCCTGCAAGCTTTGTAAAGGCTCTCGGTGATCTTAACGCCTTGAGGGTGCTCGAAATAATATGGTCCTTTCACCAATGCACTGAGGGAGCTTACTGTGAAGTACTACTGTCATCCATGGAGAAGTGGAGCAAGCTCAGGTCTCTGACCATCCACTGTGGCCTCGGCTGTTGGATGGAGTTTCTAGGTTCCCTGTCTCATCCGCCTGAGCAACTTGAGGAGTTCAAGGTGACAGCAGGAGGTTTCGTAAGTGTTCCCAAATGGATCCAAAGGCTCAATCACCTATCTTTCCTTCAAATCACAATCTGCAAGACAGGGACAGACAATATGAAGATACTCAGGGACATACCCCAATTGCAGAGTCTGATACTAGGCTTGGATTTTGTTCCCAGAGAACCTTTAGTGATTGGAAGCGAGGGGTTCAGTAAGCTTCTAAGGTTCTCAGTCGATTGCCCAGTGCCATGGCTCACTTTCCAAACAGGTGCCATGCCAAAGCTCACACATTTTCAACTAGAATTCTGCTCAGGTTCGACAAATCCAGACAGTGTTCCTTCTGGTGTCGGCAACCTCCAGAGGCTCACGGAGGTAGTTCTCCTCTACAACCAAAAGTGGTGTGCTGATAGTTCTAGTGTCATAATGACCATTCATGCTGTGAAAAGACAGGTTGGCAAACATCATAACCTAATAGACCTCATCATCAACGACACCAAAGTTGATGTCCAAGAAGTTGATGTAGAGATGAAGCACACAACCGAAATTCAGAGTGGTGATGCAAGGACTACAGTAGAGACTCAGGGTGAAATTGAAATCGTAGCTGATTGTGATAACATTGGCAGCACCTACTAGCTCTCAAGTCTCCGGACATGGTAACCTGTCTTCCTACTGACCCAAATGCTTCTATACAAATTAGCAACACCAGTCACGCGAAAAGAAAAATCGTACTAACTGTGTAGCTGTTGCAGGACTGATGATGCTTCAGTAGCATAAAAATTGCCGAAGGGAAGGATCGGAGAACAGCTTTCGTTCAGTTGAAGATAAGAACAAGAGTTGCAGATTTGCAGCCTGATGGTGGCAAATTCCTCTTGCCAATTGCCACTCACTCTTGTATGTTGCTGCTGCCTGCTGGGCGGTGGCCACTTGTTATCCGTATTGCCGTGCAGATGATGTATTGTATTTGTTTGGTCATGCCGTACTGTGTTTTCTGTATTAACAGTGCTGTCTGTGTGTGTGTAACTACTAGTATGTATGGCCTGTGTGCGAAGAAACTCGGTCAGGTGTTGTTCCACTGCAACCGAGTTCGTAAGATTTCAGATACTGTGTTTTTTCACTCAGCTCTATTTTGTGGATTACATGCATCAAAGTGACTTGCCATGGTAAATAGGTAATGCAACCACCGTGTTGCACCGTTGTGCTTGTGTTAGTAACTGCAAATTTACATGAGGTTGACATTTGGGCGTGTCACACACACATGCATGCCAAATTGTTTGTTACTAGTAACTGCAAGACCACCGTCAAATTTGGACTGCACGGGTAATCAAGCATGTGAGGCAAACTAGGACATGCGACATGACTGGTGAAAACACAGCACACTGCTGGAGTCGTCTGGGGACGCAGTGTAATTTGGGAGCATTTGAACAGAGAGGAACCGAACCCAAGTGCATGGTGACACAAAACAAGCTTTTTTTTTTCAAACAAGCTAGCTCCAATTCAAACAGAGAGGAACAGAACCCAGGCAGCACTTGCTAGCTCCAATTCAAACAAGCTTTTTTTTCTTCTTCTTCTCTGCCAATCCAATCCATTGCAACTCTTGCCACAGTATATGGGAGAAGCTGAAGGGATGCCGCAGCTGTGGCAATGAATCCATCCATTCGGACTATTGATGTACTGCGCTGTTTTTTTTTTCGTGCTTGCCTGCTAATGGACATGTGAGGGTCCGAGACAGTGTACCTGTTGCTGTTGGGTAACAACTGATGCTCGTTAGTACGTAGTTGTACACGTCACTTGTCTGTTTACGATGGCTTGTTCCAAAAGCGATTCCGCGGCCCAAATGTTGCTATAATTTGGCCCAGCCAGTCAAACTTGGCTAGTTGGTTGGTCAAATTTGCTTACAGCCCAAATGTTTTTTTTAAACGTAAACTCCAATTTACGACGGGTTGGGCTCCCCCTGATTGCATCACTGTAGGGCCCGCGATCCAGCTAGCTAGATGGTTTGGCCCTTCACGTGCAAGTGGGCTGCATAAAGTAATCCCCTAATTATAAATTTTAAATCATTCTGATTTTTTAATACTTAGTTTTTATCATGTATTTATATATAATGTGTATCTAGTTACGTAGCAAAAAAACTCATACCTGTATAATTTAGAATAGAGATGATAGCTAGGAAGTGGATTATAATTGGCACGGGCTGCGTGGCAGTTAATTAGGTTTATTTTATACTGGTTTGTTTATCCTATTTTAAAATGTTGTCATATATTCCAGCGATTCCTCCGCAACCGTAAGAAAATAAGCGAGTTAGATCCGTAGCCGTAAAAGCCTGGGATCGCGGAAATCGTGCGGCCGTGGGAAACTCCGCAACCGTAAGAATACCCTCCCACAACCGTAACAATACCTCTATTAGATTCTGTAACCGTAAAAACTGATCTGGGAACAGCCTGGCGCGAGTTTTCCGTAGTGCCGCTGAGATCCCCGCGATAGGAAAATCTACTACTATTGTTAGTCCACAACCGTAAATGGCAGTTGATTCGGTGATTCCTGATTTTTAGCATCAAGTACCGCTGACAGCGTTGCATCATCTGACGCGTTGCATGGAGGGGTGGACTACTTCTCAACCGTAAAAGGCAACTGATTTCCGATTTGTTTATCGCTGACTCGTTGCTTCAAGTAGTATCTTTTTTATGCAGGTATTACTACTTGTTTGTTGCATGTAGTAATAGTGCAACCGTAATTTTTAAACCGAAGCAGTACTAAGTATTACTACTCGTGGCATGTTAGGACAACAAAATTGATCAGTTTTTATAAAGTATTTTGTGACGAACCGTAATATTAATAGCAAGGACAGTAGTTGTTGCATGGTGAAACACAACCATAGCAAATAAATCGAACCTTCAAGAAGCAAGCTTGTGTTTGTACTACAATTGCAAATAAAATACGTTCTGGAGAACGCATGACATAAATTACGGTTGAGAAGTACTCCACCCAAATTGACAGTGGCTCTGCCACACCATAAGATCCTCATATAGCAGGTATGATTAGCATTAAATGTAGTAGTAACCATCGACCTATTTGCCTCTTTCGGTCATAACAGTATTTTTCTCTCGCAACAATCCAGGGCCAGAACGAGTATTTTAGCTTATTTAGCCAGCCAGCCGAACACTCCCCATGAGTAGCAGTAGTTGTAGCAGTGGCAGAGTAGTAGCATGGGAACCGTAAAAAAAGAAAAACAGTAGTCAAGCACAGAATGAGAGCTCCAGTAGCAGGTAGTAACAGGAGTAGCAATAGTGAGCAGTAACCAAAACAACGAGTAGAAGTAACAAGTAGTAGGAGTGTGTAACCGAATTAACATTAGTGGATTACCTTTTCCAGTGTCTATAAATCCTAACACAAAAGATGTTACATGTGCCGATGCGTTGACTTTAGACATATTAATCAAAAAATTGTGGGTAAATATAGTCAAACTAGTCGCTCAAGTGTTGTGCTATTCTGATGACGCTAGTAGATAAAAATATAAATGCAGCACTACCAGTCGTAGTAACATTTGCAGTAGTATGAACCCCCCAAAAAAAAAGAGTACAGCACATTAGTACCAGGCATAAGCTGGGTTTTGGGTTGGGTTGAATTCATCCATTTGTCAGAGCTGAAGGAAAAACTAATAGAAGCAAAACTTGGAAATTTCCCCTGAACATGAAAACATTCATAGGAAAAAGAGTTAAACAGTCACTAGTATACAAGCAACTGTATGCAAGAAAGTACAACGAATCAGCAAGAAAATAAAGGTAGTAACATTTTCTTGTCATAGCAGTATATGCAAACAGAATTACTACCAAAAGTAAAACTACCAATAGCACTAGTTATACTACTACTAATATTACTGATATGCTCAGTACAACTAATACAGCTCCTTTCTCTGTAAGTAATTTTCTTATAATCGGGAAATTAGTCAGTAGAAAATCTCTAGCCTAAATTACTGGTACAATGTTACATTCTCATACCACCTTGCTTGTACTACCAGAAACTAAGATTTGCATTAGTAAGGTAGTAATGTGAATAAACAACATTTTAAATTACTACATTTAAATGATAAATAATATAACAGTAGATCTAATGAAAATTCAGAGAGTGCCAAGACCCAATGAGAACAATCATATAAGACAATCATATACTCACAACAAGTCACAAACAGGACCTTCTAATTTACCGGATTTCATGATAAAATTTTGGATGACAAATTAGGAGATAATTACTATGAACAGCTGCACCACCTTGAGCATTGTGGGTACTTCGAACCACCGGCTAGTAAATTTGTATCCGCGCGTCTGGCCCGGATGGTGTGCTCGGAGGACATAAGGATTTATACTGGTTTGGGCGGAATGTCCCTACGTTCAGTCTGCTGCTGCTCGTGTTACCGGCACTAGTTTGTAGTAGGGGTGACAAACGAGCGAAAGAGGGAGAAGGTCCCAAGTCTTTGGTGAAAAGATCGAACGGGGTTGGGTCTTGTTGAGCTCGTTCCGCCATGTGCTCATACCTCTCATGGGCGCCGTCCTGCTTCCCTTTTATAGGTGAAGGGAAGGCTGATTATAGAGAGAAAAGGAGAAAGCGAGGAGAAAGAGGCCTCCGGTCGCGGAGTCCTTCATCTCCTTTATCTTGGGTCTCGCCGGTCCGGTAGATGTTGACGGGGCGGCTCCACGTCGCATGACCTGTTCGTCCTTTGGCGTTATCGCAGCGTCGTTAGCCGGTCGCGGTGTTCCCCTCCGTTCCGACGGGCGGCGTGGTCAGCAGGTACTCTGTCAAAAGCCAGACTGGATTAGGCGACCTGGCGCCAACATGCCCGACAACTTTGTTGGCGATGTGAGCCAGTATGGTCCGTCGTCGTGGCCACGGGTCACGTTGAGGCGTGCTGCTTCACTCGATGTCGGAAGTTTGACCCTAGGGTCGTACTCTTAGACTCGTAGTGGTTGGAGGCGGTATGGATCCATGGGTGAGACGGAGCCCATGCCTAATGGGCGGGTGAGACGAGCCAGCGCCCGAGGGGTCGGGCGAGACGGAGCTTGTGCCCTTAGGGTCGGCCGGGACGGCTCCGTACCCTCGGGGTCATGCGCGACACGGGCCCGTGCCGAGGGGGTGGCGAGAAGGGAAACCGTCCCTTCGGGGTCGGTCGAGGACCGAAATACGTCCTCGATTATCTAGACGAGTTGTCATGCGCGCGGTCCTCGGATCCCTTCTTGGGTATCCCTAACATCGATGCCGACAAGAGCCCTCGAGCCCTACGGGAGGAGTAGGATACTCCTTCATAGGCTTTTTTCGGATGGAGGGACTTGAGAGCTTCGATCTTCGCACGCTGCTTGCGGGATGCCTTGGTGGGTTACAATCCCTTTACATTGCTGTTGGACTTCTTTCACGGGCGTGTAGCTACGGGATTCGGGGCCGGAAAATATTTCTCTTGATTCCGATCCCTCCCTAGGATCCCATCGATCCGCCATCGTCATACGGCCGCGTATTCGGTCTTCTTAAGAGTCCAACTTCCCTTGAGCCCCCGCACGTAGCAGGGGTCCGGTCGAGGGGTCAGCTTGTCTTGTGATCGTCCTCCCTCAAGCATTTTTTCGATAAAACAGAGGGGCTGAGCCGTGCCA